CCTGTAATCGAATGTGACGTTAGTATCACGCGCACTCTAAGCTTTCTCCTGGAATGGATTATTACGTTCGTGTCTTATGCACTCTCTGTTTTCTCCCGTAGTGGATAGTTACGTTGGTATCTCGTGCGTTCTCTGTTTTCTTCTGTAATCGATTTTTACGTTAGTATCTCCGAGATTCTTAGTTTTCTCCTGTAATTGATCGCAACGTTGGTATCTCGCGCATTATCTGTATTCTATTGTAATGGATTGTTACGTTAGTATCTTGCGCATTCTCTGTTTTCTTTTGTAATGGATTGTTACGTTAGTATCTTGCACATTCTCTGTTTTCTATTGTAATGGATTGTTACGTTAGTTTCTTGTGCATTCTCTGTTTTCTGTTTTAATGGATTGTTACGTAAGTATCTTGCACATTCTCTGTTTTCTATTGTTACGTTAGCATCTTGCGCATTCACTGTTGTCTCCTGTAATGAATTGTTACGTTAGTATCTCGCGCATTCTCTGTTGTCTCCTGTAATGGATTGTTACGTTAGTATCTCGCGCATTCTCTGTTTCCTCCAGTAATGGATTATTACGTTAGTATCCCGCGCATTCTCTGTGTAATGGATTTTTACGTTAGTATCTTGCACATTCTCTGTTTTCTATTGTAATGGGTTGTTACGTTAGTATCTTGTGCATTCTCTGCTTTCTCCTGTTATGGATTGTTACGTTCGTATCTCGCACATTCTCTGTTCTCTATTGTAATAGATTGCTACGTTAGTATCTCGCGCATTCTCTGTTCTCTCCTGTAATTGATTGTTACGTTAATATCTTGCGCATTTACTGTTTTTTACTGTAATGGATTGATACGTTAGTATTTCGCGCATCCTCTCTTTTCTCCTGTAATCGATTGTTATGTAAGTATCTCATGCATTCTGTTTCTTCCTTTAATGGAATGTTACGTTAAAATCTCGTGCATTCTCCGTTTTCTCCTGTAATCAATTATTACGTTAGTATCTCGTGCATTTCTGTTTTCTCCTATAATCGATTGTTACGTTAGAATCTCGCGCATTCTCTGTTTTCTCCTGTAATCGATTGTTACGTACGTATCTCGCGCATTCACTGTTTTCTCCTGTAACAGATTATTACTATAGTATCTTGCGTTTTCTCTTGTAATGGATTGTTTCGTACGTATCTCGCGTATTTTCCTGTATTCTATTGTAATGGATTGTTACGTTTGTATCTTGCGCATTCACTGTTTTCTCCTGTAATGGATTGTTTCGTTAGTATCTCGCGAATTCTCTATTTTCTACTGTTATGGATTGTTACGTTAGTGCCTCGCGCATTCTCTGTTATTTCCTGTAATCGATTGTTACGTTAGTGTCTCGCGCATTATCTGTTTTCTTATGTTATGAATAGTTGCGTAAGTATCTCGCGCATTCTCTGTTTTCTCCTGTAATCGATTGTTAAATTAGTATCTCGCGCATTCACTGTTTTCTCCTGTAACGGATTGTTACGTTTAACTTAGTGTCTCGCGTGTTCTCTCTGTTTTCTCCTATAATGGTTAGTTGCTGCCGCAGCGGAGCGAGCCTGGAGCGAGCGAAGCAAAGTGGGAACTCCAATTTAGGCAAAAAATCTCGATTTTTAACCAGGATACACCGAGTTTTTTTACCACCATTCCTTGCGCTCCTTCTTTGCGCCAGTATATAACTCAAAGTTCCCCGGTGCTCTTCCCTTCTTCCTCGTGACTCTAACCACGTTGAAAAGGAAGATAACCTAAATAGTTCTGAATACTGAAAATAGTTTTCCCTATGATTTTCAGCAAAACACTTTTGATAAAAGACTTTTTTGTGTGCCTTTGTTGTTGCTATGGTTCCTATACTTGAAGAAACAATATATTCTGTTTATATTTTTCCACATTTGCAACACTGAGAATTTTCGTATTTATTCTCTTCAAAGAGTTGTGGGGTACCCATGCTTGTTCAAGCGAAACTCTAGGAAAACTAGAAAAATATATGCTGTTTTTTCCCATTTTCCCAGTGCTATACGTGCAACCCTGCAAGTTTGCATTATATTTTCAGTTATGTCTTCAAGTATAAAGGCGCACTGAATTACCTATTAGGTAGACTAGTTACGTTACTATCTCGCGCGTTCACTGTTTTCTCCTGTAACGGATTGTTACGTTAGTATCTTGCGTATACTCTCTGTATTCTTTTGTAATGGATTGCTACGTTAGTATCTTGCGTATTCTCTCCGTATTCTATTGTAATGGATTGTTACGTTACTATCTCGCGTATTCTCTCTGTATTCCATTGTAATGGATTGTTACGTTAGTATCTTGCGTATTCTCTCTGTATTCTGTTGTAATGGATTGTTACGTTAGTATTTCGCGCATTCACTGTTTTCTATTGTAATGGATTGTTACGTTAGTATCTTGCGCATTCTCTGTTTTCTATTGTAATGGATTGTTACGTTAGTATCTTGCGCATTCTCTGTTTTCTATTGTAATGGATTGTTACGTTAGTATCTTGCGCATTCTCTGTTTCCTTTTGTGACGGATTGTTACGTTAGTATCTTGCGCATTCTCTGTTTTCTCCTGTAATGGATTGTTACGTTAGTATCTTGCGCATTCTCTGTTTTCTTTTGTAATGGATTGTTACGTTAGTATCTTGCGCATTCTCTGTTTTCTTTTGTAATGGATTGTTACGTTAGTATCTCGCGCATTTTCTGTTGTGGATTGTTACGTTAGTATCTTGCGCATTCTCTGTTTTCTCCTGTAATGGATTGTTATGTAAGTATCTTGCGTATTCTCTGTATTCTATTGTAATGGATTTTAACGTTGGCATCTTGCGCATTCACTGTTGTCTCCTGTAATGGAATGTTACGTTAGTATCTTGCACATTCTCTGTTTTCTATTGTAATGGATTGTTACATTAGTATCTCGCGCATTCTCTGTTTTCTGTTGTAATGGAGTGTTTCGTTAGTATCTTGCACATTCTCTTTTTTCTTTTGTAACAGATTGTTACGTTAGTATCTCGCGCATTCTCTGTTTTCTTTTGTAATGGAGTGTTACGTTAGTATCTTGCGCATTCTCTGTTTTCTTTTGTAACGGATTGTTATGTTACTATCTCGCGCATTCTCTGTTTTCTTCTATAATGGATTGTTACGTTAGTATCTTGCGCATTCTCTTTTTTCTTTTGTAACAGATTGTTACGTTAGTATCTCGCGCATTCTCTGTTTTCTTTTGTAATGGAGTGTTACGTTAGTATCTTGCGCATTCTCTGTTTTCTTTTGTAACGGATTGTTACGTTAGTATCTCGTGCATTCTCTGTTTTCTCCTGAAATGGAGTGTTACGTTAGTATCTCGCGTATTCTCTGTTTTCTCCTGTCATCGATTGTTAGATAAGTATCTCGTGCACTCGGTTTTCTCCTTTTATGGAGTTTTACGTTAGAATCCCGTGTATTCTCTCGTGTAGTCTCTCTGTTTTCTCCTGTAATGGATTATTATGTTAGTATCTTGCGCATTCCCTGTTTTGTCCTGTAATGGATTGTTACGTTAGTATCTCGCGTATCCTCTGTATTCTATTGTAACGGATTGTTACGTTTAACTTTGTATCTAGCGTGTTCTCTCTGTTTTCTCCTGTAATGGATTGTTATGTTAGTATCTCGCGCATTCTCTGTGTTCTCCCGTAATCGGATTGTTACGTTACTATCTCGCGCATTCTCTGTTTGCTCCTGTAATCGATTGTTCCGTTAGAATCTCATCCATTCTCCGTTTTTCCTAGTAATCGATTGTTACGTTAGTATCTTGCGCATTCTCAGTTTTCTCCTGAAATCGATTTTTACGTTCGTATCCTGCGCTTTGTTAGTTTTTTGTCGTATTGCACTGTTATGTTAGTTGTATCTCGGGAATCTTTTTTTGTGCTGGATTCCATTGTTACGTAAGCATCTCGCGCATTCTTAGTTTTGTGTTGCATTTCACTGTGAAGATAGTAGTATCACGCACATTCTCTGTTTACTCCTGTAATCGATTGTTACGGCAGTATCTCGCGCATTCTCAGTTTTCTATTCTGTAATATATTTTAAAAGGATCTCGCCCATTCTCAGCTCCCTCCTATGATATTATACATAAAAATATTTCTCCATTCTGATGAGCTGAGAGAAATGCAGTTTTCACGTAATACAATACACAAGAGAGGTAAAAGAGTGCACATTATTTATAGTCAATGTGGCGCAAATCATGATTAGATCGCCGAACTTTTCTGGCGACTCAATATCTTGAAAAAAAAAAAACCAAAAAACAACAAACAATTAAATAATGTTGTTCTTATTTAAAGAGGTTGCCTTGACCTGACGCACGGTGACATTTGCAGGGTCTGAATTTTAGGTTAGTATCTCACACGTCATCAGTTTTGTCGTGAGATCGATTGTTACGTTACTACCTCGCACGTTTTTAGTTTTTCCTGTGTTCGATTCTTGCTTAACAATTAGATTATAAACTCGAGATTTTTATCGCGTGATATTTGAAGGCTGAATCGACTATCATACATATCATACATGAATCGACTACCATACAAACCGAATCGCGAGGGAATAATACGGTAAATCTACTAGTCATTCAAAACTTTACACCATGACAGAACGCTTCATGTTTCTGTGCTTGTTTTTATTTCCAATCACAAACCGTGGGTCCACGCATCCTACTCACTGCCTGTTGTGGAATTGATGGCGAGTTGCTTGGCCATTCAGATTACAGCATTTGGATTGGTGAAAACATTGTGTTTCTAGACTAACCCCTCAGCACAAAAAGGTTAAGAAAAACAAGTATTTAATTGGCATTCAACTCCAACGATCGATTAACTTATGATAATAGTGTCATATTTCCCCAAGAAAAATAATTAAACTTAATAACGATTCAGCGATAGAACTTGATAATATCATGGTTCTTCAGCGCAACTGAGTGACATCGCCAACAATCATGTGACCGTGGCTCATCCCACGCTGATCTTAAAGGTTACTCAAACGCGTGCTCAAACTCCACAAAGGGGCAGGAGATGAGGTCATCATATAGTAACATGTATTCAAAGATCGCCAAGTGGTTCTTGATCTGTTCGGATTTGTTGAATGTTTTTAGGTAAGTTTAGACATCAGTGGAAGCTTCACCTCCCATAAGGACTCGGAAGGAAATTCTAACTCCTCAACCATTGGTGCTGAGTTGCAACGGCTTTTTTAAAGCCCTTGTCAACCGAAGTAGTGAGAATTTGAAGGTACCTTCCTCAGATTACGTATGTTCATCGAAAGCTGTATGCGCTACGGAGATAACCAAACTACATTAGAAAAGCTCTCAGTGATTTCTTGCCAGTGAAATAAGTCATTAAATAGGAAAAGAGGAGCAAGGAAGAGTGAAAACGTAATAAAGAACTTTGGAATTCAGAAGCACGTGGCCGCGGCATCTATTGTTCTACATGTGAGAGCTTTAGACTGTTGCGTTTAAACAAACTGCGGCTTTGAAAATTTGAATGAAACGAAGATGGATGTGTTGATAGGCTAAACATTTGAGACTTACTGATCGTGAGGAGAGAAAGGATGTCTCACTTATTCAGGCAGTTGGTATTGTGCAACCGGTCTTTATCCGTTTGCAGCCTTCTCGTCTTCTTCTTAGTCTTTTTACTCTACGATGAAGAAGAAAACCTTTCAACCGCGGATCGACTAAGGAGAAAAACGCGCGACCACCTCCGTTGTAACATCTATAGTTTAAAGTCATGTTAAAACTAGAGGCTACTAGTTTATTTCGTTTGCTTTCCAGTCATAATTTATGCAGATATTCAGTTTCTTTCTCTTTGTCTTCTTAAGCAATTTTTTTTGCTCGTTAGGCCGTCAAGTCATGTCGGTCTTAAAATATTCTAATCGTGCTTCGTAGTGCACTGTTTGGTGCGATCACAGTTACCTTCATTCGTGAAATTATGTGTCAATAATGACTTTCCACTTTGATTTCTCACCAGGTTTCGAGAGACATACTGTACTCACGCTGCTTGAGGTTATGGCGGCTTCTCTTGTCAGTTTTCTTTGCTCCGAATTCGTACTGTAGATTGATCGATGAATTACCAACTAGTACTGCAAAGTTTATGTTGGCTAACGGAGATAGGATGGATCAGAAGTTACTGTCGAGTAAACGTCATGAGAAACATTACTTGTCCCCAGACCTTGCCCGAGCACCGAACGCTCACATGACATGAAAGAGTATTTACTTCGTCCTTTTTTTGATTCTTTCGTTCACTACCTTCCGTCTCTTGTAAGGTAAGCAGGCGTGTTTTTTTGTTTATCGGTAGTAGGGGTTCTTTTTTTGGTAATTTTTCACTTGATTACAAAGTCGTAATCGAAAAACGGAGTCGAAAAACGAATGAATCCTCCTGCGGCACGGAAAATTATCGAACAAAATTAACGTTTGACACACTACGCAGCTGCACGTGGATATGCGAACTTGAAAACAAATTATAGTTTTTAATCCGATGAGTATTTCTGCATTCTTTAAGTTGCCCTTCCACGTGCCCACTTATTCTCGCGTTTCAAAAGTACTTGTTATGTTTATGTGTAAATTGTGAAACATTTTAAGTTGAAATGTACAAAACGTACTTAGCACGCAATGAGCGACATTCATGGGGGAGACAGTCGGAATGAACGAAAAGATATTCGGTTTAACGTGGTAGCTACTAGCCTGTTCAGTTTCATCAACATGTTATCCGCTCAAAGTGATAAAATGGGTACGAGAAACTTGTTTAAAAAGCCAAAACAAGACAAAACATTACAAACTTCGCGTGACATTGCTAGGAGACATGTCGCGCGCGGGTTGTGCTTGTTTGAAAGGCATGGAGTGTTTGCACGCGTGTAAGAACGTGCGAAATTTTTTCTGAACACTCGACAACTCTGAGTAACTCTGAGGATGTTTCCATGTGACTGAAACAGAAAATATCGACCTCTTGGATTTCCTATTGCTCTAAGATTCTACATTTGTTCAAAAGTGCCAAAACAAATGTAAAAGATGCATTTTTGTGCTTTGAATTTTCAGGCATGGATGAACGTAACAGAAACAACCCTGACATGTTGCGAGAACTTAGCGACACCGAGGTACTGTATTGTGAGCGAATTGAACATTGTTTTGTTAATATAGTTGCCCTGATCATTTTAAAATTATTTTTTAAACCTCACGAGAAAGTAATTATTTATTCTGGCGCCTTCTCGACATGTGGATGTGCATCGATACGCTTCGCACTTGCCATTCTGTGAGAGGTTTATTTTTCTTAATTCAAACAAAGAATTCGCATATTCAAGCTAAGATACTCTTGAATCACCGCAGGAGTAGGATGTTTTGAATTTTGCGTTCAGGCTTAAGTTCCTCAACTTCTTCTCAGTTGATTTACATTCAAGAAAGATGTTGTTGTAAGATTGGCAAAGTAAAGTTATTCATCGTACTTTCCTAGAATAGGGTTGGATTGCATGAAGATGTTGTTTTATTACTTTTGCTGTTTGAGTTACTTGCTAATCCTATTTTTATTTGTATTTTAAATTGATTTTAACCTGTAGTTTTAATTGCCGCTTTTACCCATTCATCTATTTTTATTAACTCTTTTACTTATTTATTTTAACTGATAGATGTAGTTATTTATTTTGGGCCTCCACTGCCAAAAGCAATGTTTTTAATTTTACTTCGCAATGAAGGAATCAATTTGTAATCTTCTTGCCCCAAAGTCACAATAGACTGTATACAGTGAATAAGCCAATGCTTCAACACAGGCTCTGATTTAGAGTGCAACAAATTGACCACCTTGGGCACAGCATCGATCCAAGTTCTTGTATAATACTTATCTCACCGAGTTTTTCAAATGTCCATGTTTTTCGTCTTGTCATGAGCTTGGGACAAAGAAAAAATTCTGAGTCCTTGAGAGGAATCAAACCTCAGATCTTTGGATTCTGCGCTCCGATGCTCTGCCCCTGAGCCACAGACTCTACGGTGAGCGTAGAAAAGGTGTGGGTGAAAAGATACGCTGCAATGCTAGAAAGTAACACAGGACACTGAGTACAGTTTGGTACCCAGACCAATCCATTTGGTTTTCATTGCTCTGAAACACTTATTTCCCAGCAATTTTTATTTTGGATCAGGAAAGAATTGTTAGGGGAGAAGTTCACCCCAATAATCAGGAAGCCCAGCTGATGCGTGAATTCCTGGCTCAAGCCAAGAAGGCATTGGATTTTGCCTCAGGAGTGATAGATTTAATGGAACAAAAACTTCCACCTGCACCAGAACCAGAACCTGAACCTGAACTGGAACCTCAACCTAAGAAGAAGAAAAAGTCTCACTAAAAGAGAGTGGTATGTAACTGACCAAATCAACATCTTTCTTTAGTTACCATTTGTATTAAGAAAGGTTATAACTATGCTGAAAGATGTGGCTCAATTAAAACCCTGTCATTTTCAAAAGCAGACCTTGTCTTATTAAATGCAGTTACACACACCACAGTAAGGGCATTTCCTAGGGTAGATCTTTCTTTGTTGTATCTCATGCATTTTTAAGGCATTGTGTTCACCAGTGCTTACATGCAATTTGTGACTTGCAAATGTCATGCAACAGAGCCCTTAACTCTCACGCATTTGAGACTTATGGTTCAATCTTACGCTTTCACATGGAAGTTTCTATTTCTCATGCATGTATGGTTTATGATTGAAACTTCTGATTTTGAGATAGCAAATAGCTGCTGTAGTTAATTGTCTATCAAATGAATTATCCTTTTAAATATTATTTACTCCCTGTTCCCTTTGTACTCACTTAGAAGACTTTCCAAAGGTGGTCATTCTTGCACAGAATAAAGGAATGCACATCTTTAATGGCTACTTCATTTTTTCAAAACTTTTAAGGGAAGCAGACCCTAATACCCCCACTAGTAAGGAATGCCTGCTGTGTCTCACTCTTTGCTAGCAAATCCATTTGAGAGCTTGATCTGCATGCAACCTCTCCTAGTCATGAGGTCTGATTTTATTTCCCTATAGGTCCTATAGTAATGGGCAAATCAGTGCAAAGAAGATTTTGAAGTGGTTATTCCTTGCAACCATATCACAGAGTACTTATCTCTTAATAAGAAACATTTGATATGAGCATATTTAAGTGCATGCATGAAGTCTTCCTTGTGCATGGCTTTGGTGTGAAAGATTGCTAAGCAATGGATTACTTGGATTCTCTGACTTGTGTAGAGCACTGTCTTAAAGACCAAGCTAAGCATTCTTTTCTGATTTCTTTTAACCTCTGTGGCACCTATTCTACAGTGTCTGGAATGTCAACTATGTTGATCATGAATTTTTCCTTTCCACATTGCCTTCATTTTTCTTGCAAGGTTGTGATATTTTATTGCCCTTATTACCACTGGTTTTATTAATTTCATTCATGGATTGATGTGAATATTTTTGTTTGTCTTTCAGTTTGTAGATAAGCCAAGTTCAACTTGTCCTCCTGATTTCTCTCACTTGATTCCTGTTGTGTAGGAGTATTATTTAGGTGACCTTTGTGTAGATCCTGTAGTTGTAGGGACAACTGTCACTACCATAGCCTTAGTATAATAAATTTTGTATTGTCCTCCAATCCATCATAATTTGGGAAAGCTTTTATTCAGTGGTTCTATTGGAGTAGTTGGTTGTAGACAAAGCATTGACAGTCCTCTGGACAAGTAGTTAAGCATATCTGTACGTGAAATTATTGTTAGACATGTGACCCTCAAACTGAGTGAATAACAACTAGTGAATTTAATGATCAAATAGGGGAAAAAGTAACGTGACAAGTGACCAAAGATAAACTTATCTCAATAACACTTGGTGTGTCATAGAAATTTCCTGTTTGTCTCAGGCAATTGCTTTGGTTTTGTATTCTTTATTTAGACCTTGTGGGACTTTGCATTCTGGCTTTATTTAGAAAAATTTTCTCATTTTAGTAGCTTTCTGTTGATATTATTTGTCTAGTTTGACCCTAAGCCTAACAGCATTTGTACACTGATGTTTTATAAACTTGCTCATTTTGCTATTGTTTCTTCAGTGATTCACTTTATCACAGCTTGAATTTCTTTTTCAATCATTGGTTGTAAACATTTCTCTAAATTCAGTCTCACTTTGTGCCGAGTCATCGGCTGTTATTGTTTTTTCTCATTTTAAACTGGACTAGCGTTTGTTATATAATTTTGTTACAGCGTAACTCCTGATGTTAACCTTTGGTTGTGTTCTTCGTGTAATGGTTTGCAAATTTTATCGCTTTTACTTTTTAAATTCATTTACATCAATTGATATGGTATTTAGGCTTATCTTAGATTGGTTATTTTCCATTATTTTAATGTTACTCATTCCGGGTTTTCTCCTTAATTTATTGTTCGTCCTGATATTTCAATAAACTCGTTAACCTTAAACTTGAGTTGAAAGTTTTGTCTGCCTTACATTAGGATTTTCGGAAGATTTTCGGAGTGATGCCTTGTTTTTTGTTTGTTTGTTTCTTCGTTTGCTTTAGGTTTTTGTGATGCACATGAAACGGTAATTACGCTCAGCAGTTTCAATTCCCTTTTTGGTGATTCGTTCCCCTTACCATTTCACCCCAAGATGGGAGAGGTACTCTTCGGAATTCTCGACATTATTCTGACCCTATTTCTCTGCAATCCGTAACCATTTTCATACATAAAATTATATTTTGTTTGGGAACCCATCGTACTTTTATATGGCATAATTAACTTTAAGCTAAGAATAACCACCCCGAGAACATGAAAACAATCGTAAGTAACCAAGTGTTAATCAATTGTACAGGGTGTTTCAAAAGTTTGTGCCCGTTTTGGATCATAGATGAAAAAAAATTTCTGTCGAGGTTTTCTTGCTAAGAGGAAGTAAAAGTTGGTGATTTCACGTTTTTTGTTCTTTAGGGGACGGCTAAGAAATGTACGTGTTTCGCTTTTGTTCTGCTCATTAGATATTTTGTTTCGCTACGTTCTCGCTGCCGACGCCATCGTGGTTTTTTTTTAAAGTCCTTATTGTTTTTGGGACCAGATTCCGGTACATAACCTCGTCAATAATGCTCCAGAAATTTTCTGACTCTTGAGAACCTCCGACTACATCGTTCTTTGGATTTGGCAACTTAAAAAAGCTCTCAATACATTCACCTGTGTCAAGAAAATCTTCTCATTCTTCTGCTGTTCGTTTTTTATATTTATAAGAAGACCGAGTTTGGCGTCAATTGTGGCACCAAATGATTTCGTAATTAAAAACTGTTCCACCCGAGTACTGTCCATTGTGACTGATGGGGAAGCAGTAAGGATATTTAGCCTTTGGCCAGATCCTCTCAGCATAAATTTGGTTTTCGTCATATTTAGAGTAAGTTTGTTTGCTTTTAACCAAGTATGCACATTCAATGGGTCCTCGTAAAGGCACGATTCAATGTTGCCTATATCATTATCTGCATATGTGAGCTAAGTGTCATCGGCGTAGATCCCCGGTTCGCAGTTTGACAAACAATTTGGAAGGTCATTCATGTATAATAAGAATAATTGTGGACCGAGGATGGTCCCTCCCCCGAGGGACACCGCAGGTTAGGACACTGCTGTCAGAAAAGGATCCGCTAACTGAGCATTATTGCGTGCGGTTCTCCAAATACGACTGAAACCATTATAATGATCCCAGATTTACCATAAAGGTCAAGCTTGGATAGAAGAGTGTTGTGGTTAACGATATCGAAAGCTTTCTTCAGATCTAGAAAAATTACCGCGTTGATTTTCCCAAAGTCTGTATTATATGCCCAGGAGTCGGTTACCTCAAGCAAAGCTGTAACAATCCAGTGAATAGCAAAAAAACCCGACTGACGTTTGCTCAGTATATTGTGCTCTTCTTAATAGGCATATAACGATTCGTAAATTATTCTCTCCAATACCTCGACCACAACTGGGATAACCGAGATCGGACGGTAATTGTTTACGTCGTCTCAATCACCTTTCTTGAAAAGGGGTGTGACTCTAGCAGATTTCCAGTCTTCTGAAGTTTACCCTGTCTGATAGATTGATTAAAAATATCGCATACAAGCACATAAATCAGGTCGGCACGCAACCGAATACGTCTCGTAGATACTCTGTCTAGGCCAGTTGCTCATGAGTGAAAGGACATTGTTTGCAATGGATCTTTACGGGCCTGGTCAGTGAAACAAATCTATTCAATTAAATGGCAAAAAATTCGATTCGCACCAACGTTACTTTCTAGTACAGAAAAGGCTAAGTAAAGACGCTATGAGGCTCGAAAAAAGAAGAAATAGACATGGCCTTGAAGATGTAGAAAGGAAAATGTTCTCTACGTGCGAATCAAATTTACCCCGACGGAAAAAATTTAATGTGCATGCTTCAGCTCTTGCAATTAACTAAGAGAAAGAGAAAAATTTATGAAAATTAAGAGAGGCCTTGAGACCAATAAGAATAGTTATTCGGCGTAAACATGCGAAGAGGCTATAAGTTTCCTCACCTCGTAGAAGCCAAAAATCAGTCAAGCGTGACAGCAGAGCTGAATATTCAACCAGTCAACATTTAACCGGTCAAAAGCCGTGAACAGCAGGTATTATTTTACGTACTCGTGTATGTGTGAATGGATGTATCAACACATCATGTTGATCACGTGATCGTGGTACTCCACCTCACTGCATCATATCGTTACTATTTTTAGACAATAGTTAGCATCACACCCAACATTGCTTTTGGAATTCTGTTATTTATTTGTTGCGTTTCCTTTCATCTCTTCAGGTGAGTTTAAATATCATTAGAGGCTTCTCTTATACGGTGAAAGGGCTATTAAGATAACCATAGAAAGGAGGGAAAAGGGAGTAAGGCATGTGTAAAACGACAACATGGCCACATCATTGACGTTTTCCTGACACGTTTTCTCTCGCCTGCGTCCACTGCTCGTCATGTCGGCATGTGTTACGTTTTAAAGACAGCGGCTTTGGAAATTTGAAAGTAGCCATCGCTTTATTCATCGACTCAATTTTCCAAACTTAATAATCCTGATGATGAAAGGGTTTCAATATCCACAGCCTTATGGCCCTGCCGATTTCTGAGAGTAAGTATCGAATAGTCGAATCATGGCGGCTACTCTTACTTGTTGAGGAAGAAGAAAAAGAATTCAACCGCGGATCATCCTCGGATCAGGATACGTTACCATTAGAACTGAAACAACTATCGAGTATAGATGATGTTAAGAACAAGAAGACATCGTTAATTGTTAGCTTTAGAGTTAGTTAATGCAAATATATCAAGTTTTATCAGGAGCCCATCACAAGTAGTTGCCTCTGGTTTTATTTTTCTGTGCAATGATTCACACTTTTTTCTCTCAGAGGCATAAAATCGTGTGGGGAATGAAAATGTTCTAATTATGTTGTAGTGAAATGTTTTTTGCGATCACAGTTCTCTAATCTCAATGTACTCTGTGTCAATGATCACATATTGAATTCATTCATTTTTTTAATTTATCAACAGGGAGTTCAAGTGAGAGAAAGTCACGCTTCAGTTAAAATCATGGCCTCCGTTGCCAATGTTAGATTGCAAAGGATTTGAAACGAGGATTGGTCGAAAACCAAAAAACAAAATAATGAAAAGTTAAGCCTGAGGATGGCAGACAAGTTTCTGTCTTTCAACCTCAACAACATCAAATGTAAAAGAAAAACGACACATCAAAAGGCAGTAAGAAATGGGCTGAAGTGTGACGAGTGACGTCACAGACTAGTTTCTAGGCATGCGTGGAGGATGTCAATTTGTGTGCAACTATGCTTCATGCGTGGGCCGCTCATGGAATTGTCACAAAGCCTCACTCGTTGAAGGGCGCAAAAAGTCGCCAGTCTCACAACACTGAAAAGTGAGGAGAGATCGTCTGCCGAATCTGACGCATAAATCGACGACATTTTCCCTTTACTTCAGGTAAAGTTAATTCATTTATTTTTACAAGGTTCTACCTTCAGTGCGATTTACTTTGAAAAACATCAATGATCGAAAATGTGCAAGCATCAAAACTCTTCGTTTCCGTAGTTGCATGGAACTGCGAATTTCTATGTGGAACTCGTACAACTGAGAATTGAGCAAAGTCTAGGTAACTCGTGGAAATCCAGAAATGAGATGATAGCGTAAAGTCGCTTTTTCTTTAATTTTTTTTTACTAGCCAGCCGCTCAAAGTGATGTAAATGGAAACGATGCGGCCCGCGCCCCCAAAATAATCCATAACAAAATGCGTAGGTGATAGCGCGTGAAGTATTTTAAACCAGCTCGTACGCTTGAGCAGTTACCTCGGAGACAAAAGTTGTCGAGCCATTTTTGAAACTTTTCTTGAAACTTTTCTTTTATTTTCTCCATCGATCATCTCCTAGTAAATACAATTAAAAAATGGATCACCAAACTCGCAAAGAGATATGACGAGCTTATCTTCCCCAACAAGCTCCACTTATGCATTTACTGTTATATGAATAACGCTAGTTCTTCTATCGGTTTACTAAACACCTTGCGTATGGAAGGTTGTAATCTGTTTTGAGTAACGCCTTTGCCAGCCTTTGTTCACGCTCTGAGTTATGACCTTTTTCCCTTCCGATCAATTTGCTTTTAATTTTTTTCTTCAAAGGGGACAACTGGTGCATCAGAAGTATGAAATAAAAAAATGTTGCTCGTTGAAAAAAAAAAGCATTGACTGTGACATCTAAACCAAAAAATTCGTATGTTGCGGGAATGCGCACGAGAATTCGCTTTGCGTCACGGGCGAATGTTATGCGCAATACAAGATGCGCAGTGTGATACTAGGGGAATCACCCTAAAAGACCATGGCGCGCCAACGATAATCTGGAACAGTCACGAACTCTAATAATTGGTTTTGGAATTTTCCATTATGAAATAAATATAGGATATGAATTTCTTAGTTCTTTCATAATTATAGTATTAACGCTTTTGCTTTTGTTTTAAATAGCCCTAAGCTGGGATGGATCGTCCGAAGAAAACGCCGGAGGAGAATACTGATGACGAGGTACAAATTTGTGAACATATCAATGTTGTAGAAATATGATGGATAGTAGTTGTAACAGGCTGACTGGGTAGAAATAATAAGTTTCTATTTCATAAGAAGTTACTGCGGTTACGTTCGAGTTACATTCATTATTCTGCACTTGATTGAAGGCGGATGTGTTACATTGCATGTCCGTTCTCCATCGAATTAGAATTCTTTATTGACATGTATGGCAAACTTAAGATATGAAAGGAAATGTATCAGGGTGATGGATTAAGACAGAATAACCAACACCCTTCTTCAAAATCACTCTAGATTGTTGGCTACATCTGCCAACTGTTGAGAGTGATTGAGAAAACAGACATTTTACATGTTAATTCAAT